TCACTGTTGGTACTCTTAAAACTTTAATGGGGCTTGAATTAATAGAAAACAGCCTGTTGAAATTTAAAAGGTAAAGTAATCGTGCAACTTGGAAATGTACTTGCAATGTAAAGAAAATAAATTATCAGCGTGGAATGAAAATCCAAAACTCCAATGGCCAGCCGAGTGAGATGAGACAAGACATGACAAAAGAATTTTTTTTTTCTTATTTGATTTATGTTTGAAAATGGTTCCTTTAAAGGTGAGAGGTAAAACATTATGGACAGCATATAAGATACGGCATATTGTATGATGTGTTTGATTTCAAAAGTGCCAGTGTGGTACACAACTACACAATACTATCACTGTAACCGTCATAGCAATAAAGGAGGTCCTGTCATCATTTTCCTATTTTGTGACATAAAATGTCAGTAATTGTTTAGGCATTCATCTGTGAATAAACATAATTGTGTATTTGTCAATTGTTATTTTGCTTTTCGCTTTTGAGTCCACTTTCTATTATTCCAAGCTCAGGCTTGTAGTTTTGTTCGTTTGTTTATTTAGCTAGTTAGTTAGTTGCCCGTATTTGCTTGTTTTTATAATGTAATGCAATGCAATGCAATGAAGACACTAGGAAAAGAAATGCTGTTTGCAGCAGAGATAATAATATCTGAGAAACTCTTATCATGTGTCCACGATATTTTATCAGCCCACTTCTATTACTGTTATTTCTGTTGTCGACGTACATTCTAGTTTGCTTCTGAATGTCGTGAACTGTTGTGTTTGGAAACGCTTGTAGGTGTTGTGTCTTTGCTTGTGTGAAGCACATTGAGTTGTCTTGTGTCGGAAATGGGCTGCAGAAAACTGTCCTGCCTTCCATGTAATTTGGCCTTACGAGAGAACTGAATGTTTTTCTTCGAGTTGCCGGGATTCTAAGAACACTATGCCACAACTCTGTGACCTAAAGTTCACATCTAACACCAGACTATGGAATCTCCTCTGGATTTAGAGTGTTGTTCTCAGAATTTTGCTGCACTGTCTTGTTGACTCCCTACCAGCCAAACCGTGCAGTCGTCCGCCAAGATTAGATTCTTGATTTTCACTCAGAGATTCAAACTCGGATGTAACTTTAGCAGCATGAGTTCAATCTTGAATGCAGCAGACAGTGAAAGCAAAACACCCCATCCCACCACCCACAGGAAAAAGCTCTGATCCCATTCCGAGCGCTGGCAAAGTGAGATTCCAAAACTGCCACCAAAGAGAGGAGATTGGGAATGCACCGTGCTAACCACCCCTGGAGTCCATCAATCATTATTTTCCATAAAAACAGAGCATTGAAATGGACAAAAAGCCAGTCAATGGGCAGAACACAAGGAGTCTGGAGTGCATCCGGTGAGGAGGTAAAGAACCAGCCAACTGAAGAGAGGAAAAGTAGAGTCAAAAGAGAGTCATCTACATCTGCACTGCTTCATTAATTCGTTACCCCTGCAAATAAAGTGAAGTCTATAAATGCTGATAATCACAAAGAATCAAAGACAAGAAAAGATGGGCTAAATGTGTGCAGGGTAATAGTGTGACTCACATTTTCATTCAAAGACACTGCCTGTGCTTGGATCAAATTTTACTATTCACAAACAGAACAGACTTGTGGTGGATTTGCTAAGATGTGGTGAGAAAACTCACAACGAATGCTTCTTTAATGTGGTTTACCACACCACAGATTGGATGTACATCATGTTTGCTTTGTGTACAATACACTGCTGTTACACTTCCCACACCTTAGAAGATTATTCTACTTCTTTTGCACAAGATCATGCTTCTGAGAACATTGAAAATCCATTTTGCCCGTGGTTGCTGTCCTTTATTTTGGGAAACTGACTGGGATTTACAAAGTACAAAACTACTGGTGTGATTACAATTAAGGCTTTTTTGCAAGAAAAAAATATACATGAGCCTTTGAATAAACAGATATTAAAAAAAAATATACCTGAGAGATTAAGAACCCACCAATCACTCCAGATGCCTTGTCGAATAGAACTGATAATTCATCTTTATTTTGCAACAACAAATGACAGTAGACTGTGTTCCTTGGCAAGGCCGTCTGAGCCAAAGCCCTCTTTTATCCGACTAATCACTGGAAACTGCCCGTCAGTGTAATACAATGCTTCGTTATGAAAAGCTTCTCCCTTGGTCCGATGCTACATCCTCTCCAGCCTTGGTGAAAATTGGCAACGTTTTTTAATGCATGACAATACTGGCAAACAACCCACAAGACCGAGTTGGGAAACGAGCTACTACAAGAAACTATCAAGCGAAGTATGTTGCCTCAAAAGACATAATACAGGACATATGGGGGACTCGAGTCAGATGCTTGACTCGAGCCAGACCTGAGTCACTATTTTCAGGACTTGAGACTTGATTGCCAAAAATTTGGGAAACTCTTTGTGTATATAGTACATACAGGATATCATACATAATTACTCTGAAAGAAAAAAAATCACTCATTGTTGTTGGCAGCACTATGGGACCAAATTAAGTGTTTATTATTTATCACATATTTTTGAAAAATAATTGGCTGAATAATCAGTTATCAAATTTTTTTCTGCTATATGTAAAAATCTGCATTGTCCTCAAAAATTCAGTTGGGCCCTACTTTATACACATCGCCAATGTTTTTCTATCATAGCGTTGAGATGTGCAACACAATCGGCCTTTCGAAATTAAAAAGAAAGGATTTCAAACTTGATCGTGGCTGTGTAAAAAGTCTTCCAATGCCAATTTACTTTCTGAAATCTGCATCGGCAACAAAATAACGTCAATAATGGCAAGCGGAATGACGATCACATTGAACCGACAGGAATTAAGTGCAAAGTCACCAGGCATTAGGGAAGGAAAAATGATTCTGAAGTGAAGGGGCGGAACCATTAAAAAGCACACAGCTCCCTCTTCTCGTGTTCATAGCCGCCAAAAGAGTACACGTGTACCATATTGTCAACGGGACCACAATATAAGCCATTCCACGGTGTGATTGAGGAAATTAATCAGAAGTAGGTCACTGCTGAAAACGAACATTAAAAATCACTTCCACAGACACCCAGAGAACATTTGTTCTCTTGCAAAAGTGATGAGCATGCAACTGCCGCCTCCAATTATGACCACTGATATTTTTAAGCAGCAAAAAAAAAGCCACAAATGATACAATTAGACAAATTTTTATTCAGCCAGTGTCAACAGACAAGAGCCTAACTTCAATTTGCTCTGTGCATGTGTCATGATTATTTATTTTGGACTGATTTGGTTTGCTCCTAAACCTACAGAGAAAGTTTAAGGAGAAAGGAAAAATTTTGGCACCATGCAAGACGCACTGAAAGTCATGAAAGCAACGGAGAACTAATCTAACCCAAGAATGGTTAACTGTCTCGACAAAAATTCATCACTTGCATTTCACTCAGCGAGCACTTCTGCAGTGGAATATAATATACACTAATAATATGGTAATACAGTATCTTGACGAAAATTACTCCAAAGCTTATTACTCATTCTTGCAGTAAGACTGCTGCTAGGAGCACTGAATCTTAAGTATTTGATTTTCTCAGCATACGCAAACCACTCACTCAGCCTTCTGCTCCTTCAGCAAGCAAAAGACTGCTTGTGTGCCACAGAAAAGTGTGCTGAAAATCATAATTATATGCTCAGCTCAACTTGTGCCAATTGGTCCAAACTACCATGTTGCCACATCAGAGTGAAAAACAAGTCGGAAGTTCAGAAAGACCAAACTGAGCTTATTAAGAGACAAAGAGTCATTTGCCGGCTGTCATAGAGTTGACCAGACAAAATGTCATTCATTTTTATGTTGTAAACAGCACTGCTCTTCCTGATTCTACAATCATTCCTTACATTGTGTATAAAATTACTTATCAGAGTTTTCGTGAGATAAGACACACTTGAAAATTGACAGTGCGCCTTATATGGGCGACACTGGGGACTCGAGGGGTCGATAGCGCCATCAGAAATCTGTCTCAGCCCCTTTCAGCATCCCCCCCATCCAGTTATTGATTTCTTTATATCTTTATTTAAGTTGGGTGGACAACCAGTTAACACATCTGCCTCACAGTACAGACGCCGGGGGTTCAAATCCGGGCTCCTGCCTTCCTGGGAGGAGTTTGCATGTTCTCCCCGTGCATGTGCAAACATATAAAACCTGATTGTATAACCCGGTACTTCGTATGTATGATTTTTTTCTTTTTTTTTAACCGGGTGCTTCGTATGTATTCATTCATTCATCTTCCGAACCGCTTGATCCTCACTAGGGTCGCGGGGGGTGCTGGAGCCTATCCCAGCTGTCTTCGGGCGGTAGGCGGGGGACACCCTGAATCGGTTGCCAGCCAATCGCAGGGCACACAGAGACGAACAACCATCCACGCTCACATTCACACCTAAGGACAACGTAGAGTGTTCAATCAGCCTACCACGCATGTTTTTGGAATGTGGGAGGAAACCGGAGTACCCGGAGAAAACCCACGCAGGCCCGGGGAGAACATGCAAACTCCACACAGGGAGGCCGGAGCTGGAATTGAACCCGGTACCTCTGCACTGTGAAGTCGACGTGCTAACCACTGGACTACCGGGCCGCCGCTTCGTATGTATGATACTTTTATTTTTATATTTTTAATAGATCCGTTCATTGATGTTGCGCCGAATAATACGGTGCGCTTAGGTCTGACAAATGTATTAATTCAATGAATGAAAATGTGTCTCCACATTTTTGACAGTGATTGTATATACATCGTATGTTTTGAAGGGCTTTTTGTCAATATATTTTACCCCATCTAACTTCATACAGCATCGAACAAAGGTGCTCGCCTCAAATTCTTGGTTGCAAAAAGCATGAGCGCACTCTGGTCTATTCTTTTGAAGTCAAGTATTTTCCCCATGCAGTCAGATAGCTCAGTTAGCACGATTTTCAACACTATAACTGTCAAAAAGTATCAAAATATGATGTGTCTCTTTTCTTGACTTACCTCCAGATTTGCTGGTGGAAGGCCCTCCCTCCTCCGGAGGTTTCGACACAAGCATCTGTCTGTGTGGATGTTGCGCCTCTGTCGAATGGACAGCATTTCCTTGACTGCCATCTCCTAAGCTGCTCTCACCGAGCGACTCTGGCCCACTGGTCTCCAGGGTCCTCCCGTTGTGACCTCTACTGGGCCTCCTCTGAGGCTCAGTTCGGGGGTAGTCAAGCAGACAGACAGAATGTCTGGACGCTTCGAGCTCATCATCCTCAGGAATTGGGTTGTACCAAATCTCGCCTTCGTCGTCTGCATCATTCTCTTCTGCTGGGTCGACACTCCTGGGGTGGGGCGACACACTGACCTAGATCCAAACAGAAGCAAACAGGGGGAAAAAAAAAAAGCAAGCTAAAAGCTGTCATAAAAACATTGGCATATATTATCCAAATATGTGTACATTAATAGGAAGGGGAAATTAGTTTTCACCTAACCCCAGACGGTATGACTTGTAATGGTGGAAAACTAAGTCACTGATAATGAGTAGGAAAATTAGCCATTTATTTTCATCGCTCACTTAATATCACCATCGAGCCTAGCTAGGAAACTCAGCTCCAGAATATTAGCACCTGCCACTAGTAAGACTGTTTCATAGTCAGTTTTGTGTTTTGTTTTGTGAACCTGTATTGTATGGACTTCATGCTCAGAAGTATCAAAACACTTATTTGAACATAAAGTTAAATTTTTATGCACCAGTTTATCAATAATATGGCAACTCATTGGTACTGCATGCTCAGTTGTCCATCAAGGCATGAGTCCTCTCATCCATCGTTGACCTGAGATCTCACATATATTCTTCACAACAAATGGACAAATATATCTGTAGATACTTTATTTTTCATTTCATGGCTATAGGTTGCCAAGCGTCCCACTATTTATTTTGAAATTGAGATGTGTTATATCTGGCAATACATTGATTTATAAAAAGAGGCATTTATTTTGAAATTGAGATGTGTTATATCTGGCAACACATTGATTTATAAAAAGATAAGTAGGTATCACAAAACAAAATGAAACATACCAAATAGATTGACCCAGCTTTGTCTTTATGCCTTAATTGCAACACCAAACAAAAAAAGCAAGAACCTCTTGTCTTTTTGTCTTTTGTTGTTGCGAAAAGGTTAGATTTACATCTCCCGTTAGTCTGATTTGACTGGGCTTAAGATCAGAGCAGCTACACTATAGAAGTAAGATCAAGCTCATTATCTTGAAAGCAAATCAGGAATTTCTTGAGTGTCAATCCATCCAGCTAAAAGCTGTTGTCCATTACAGCAAGACTGTGAGATTAACCTTGGGTAGAGGCAGGTGGCCTGGCAGTGATGATGATGCCCCTGAACTTCTCATTTGCTCTGGAGAAGGACTGGGCGGAGGTGGTAGCTGCGTCTGGCCCGGGCTGGCCTCCTCCTCAGCTCCCAGCTTGCCTTGCAGCTCATCCTTATTGCAATGATTCTTTCCGAGGGTGCTCTGTTGCAGCCAGTTGCGCTTCTTGGCAACTGTGATGGTGTGGAGGTGCGGTCGCCACGCTGAAAGCTCATTGGCCCTGGCAGCCTCTTGCGTTTGGACATTCTCAGTGAGAGCTGAATGTGCGATAAAAGGAGGAGGTTAGAGAAAGGAAGGCTTACCATCACACGCCAGGGGACATTCAAACCAGATGAATCAGCGTTAACATCCACCCATCCATTTTCTACATCACTTGTACCCCAACAGGAATGCGGGTGAGCAGGAGCCTATCCCAGCTGACTTTGGGCGAGAGGCGGGGTACACCCTGGACTGGTCGCCAGTCAATCGCAGAGCACATCGAAACAAACAATCATGACAACTCACATTCACATGACGTGCTAACCACTACAGCGCCGTGCTTCCGATTAACCAATTTCATTCATCTCAATCATCTCAATCTCAATCTAAAATTCAATCCTAATCCAGACTGAATTAAAGCTAATTCGGGCCCTGTGACATTGAAGGAAAACTCTGCATCATGAAACCAAAGGAGTGTTCACAGTATTTTAACAAAGACCTGAATGGATAAAAATATACAGCTATGGCTATGATGGGTGGATGTTGGAGTTTTGCATTCCTCCGATAAAAGAAAATTCAACATGTATCTCAACATATTTTAAAGCGGAATGATTCACTTCCAATGTACTCACATCTTTTAAATCAAAACCGATTTTCCGATGTAATTTTTTTTCTTTTTTTGTGACACCGCTAATGAATATACAGTGCACATATACTTGTTATCTCACATCTGCTTTCATTCATTTCTCTAGCTCAAAGAGCCACGTCTTGTTTGGGCTTGCTGGTAATTTGTTCTTGTATTTTTATCTGGCTGTTTTTAGTCATATTGTTTTATCACCACACGATTAATCAGACTGTCACAGACTTTCTGGAAGATCTTCAGCTATTTTCTCCTCAATGCTTACAAGCTCCACTCATTTCAGCTTTGTGAATATGTCACAATTTTTGTGTATTTTAGGATTAACATTCATGAATGTTCTTGAAACAGCCACAAGCAAACCGTCTGGCATGTTTTTGCTTTCTGAAGAGCGGATGTCATCGGAGAGAAATACGTGTGTTCTGGTGAGAGGCTGAGGGAAGTGCCTTGCTATAACTTGGAAGGCAGAAACATTGAAAAGCCTGTTTTCTTCCTTCTTTTTTTCCCACAAGGATAAACAGCATGTGCATCCACCAAATTATTGACTACAAAAAAAAAATCAATTAAATAATAAAATTATTTTAAAGAATTCATACTGAATAAAAAACATCCGGTATGTCCATACCACTTCCTAAATTGTAAATGGGTGAGGATTAACGTCATATAATTATCCCTCTTGCCCCAAGGAAAAAAAAACAAAACAAACAATGACTGGAGGAGTTTCAATTTAGTTTCAGGAACTTTTGGAAAGTCAAAATGCAGAAACAAACTGACATAAAATGAGAGTTTCTTTCAAGACATAACAGAAACGGTGAGATATGGAGACAAACGTGATGTCAGGCAAAACTGGGAGCAAACTGCTCTTTCTCATTTCGCTCTTTTCTGTCTGGATTTTGCTCTCCAACACCGATTGTGTACTGCCATATTCATCTTCTCTTTTCATTGTGAAAGCCATTCGATATCAATTCAACATTCCTGCTGGTGTAAGGAGCAAAGCGGGTACTTTCAAGACTGTGTGGTTGGAAAACATCTGTGACTTGAAGCACAGAAATGCTGAAATGTCTTTTCTCAGCATTACACAACAAATTAGTTCACGACTGTCAGCAAACATCTTTCCACCTCAGTCATTTGAGAAGGGTCATAAACAGTGCTGTGGAATTATTGCCTTTATCGGAGTGACTATTTTAGAATGTCCTCGAATATTAGATCATTGGAAACATCCAAGTATGTATATCATCGAGTGGTACTGAGAAAAGTCAACAGGTTTAATGTGATCTCTTTTCTTGAAAGTGAATTAAGCCTCTCAGGCATGACGCATTTTAGTTGCTTAAAAAAATGTAATGGGGATAATTGTATAAACCACATCAGGAAATATCTCTTCCTTTCAGCGCAATTCAATATGCTGCAGTTTCCAGACCGAAAAGTATTTAAATAACATGAATCATGATAAGGCTGAGTTCGGTACCTTTTCCTGAGTTGAAAGGAAGCTATTTTTAGAGTTTTACATTGTAGAAGTCAACAATGGTTTCTTTTACAGTCCACTCGCAAATTGCATTTAAATTACCTCCGCCAGGGAGATTTGTTTGTTTTCCAAGATTGCATGATGTATGTGTGTGTGTGTGTGTGTGTGTGTGTGTGTGTGTGTGTGTGTGTATATATATATATATATATATATATATATATATATATATAACATTAGATATGAGAACATTGGAGAGGAAAGAAAAAGATGCAGACCGTACTAAATGTGTGGATAGAGTATTTTTTAGGTGCTAATCGAAATGAAGATTGGTCAGCTTTGGTGGAGGTCTGCAAAAAAACAGCTCCAATAAAGCCTCCACTAATGTACAAGCTACTATGCCGCTCGTCCCTTAGGACAACAGGATGCCTCTGTGTGGAGTAGTTGTCAGCATGCCATCTTCTAGAAGGGGTCCTTCATAACTGGAAAGAAAAACGTGTGCTGACACGAACAGCATTCCAGAGGACAGCTCCAGATTTTATAGCCTGAACGCTGTCTTCGCCTCTGCCGCACTCCTTCTTGGGCCTAACACATTTGCAAAGCAACAAGCCGTTAGATGGACTTCATAACTGCTGTTCTGTAACTTTTGTGACTGTTTTCTGTTTGGGTGTTTATGTACGTACGACCAGTCTAGGGTGTAGCGGTGCCCCTCTAGGCTCCTCGCAACCCTAGACAGAATAAACGGCAAAGAAAATGCATGCCTGGATGATAGACTGATGCCTGGATGTTGCGATTTAGAACGTTATTCTCAGACATATGTTGTCCTCTATTCTCAAAGTTGTGTTTACTTAAAAAGAGAGAGTGGTGACCTACCAGACAATGTAGCGCCAACTAGTTCAAATACATTTGCATAACAGAGCTGCACAACCTGCTTCCCTGTGGCACGGCGCTGTGTAGAGGATGCGGTGAGCCTACATAAATCTCACACCCCTTCAAGGTAACAGATGGCCAGAGCACAATAATATAAGGTTTGCATGTCCGTGTGGGAGGAAAAGCGGTGGCGCTGAGAGGAGAAGTGTTACGGTTTGGCGACAGAGCTAAAAACAGAGAAAAGCTTATTTCCTGGATGTACTATTAAAAACCTGTAGTAGCGCAACTAAACCGCCCTCTAATTATATTCTCAATCTAAATCTACTAAGTGACGGATTCGCTTTCTCCTTCGCGAACACTTGATCCACTTTCCCACCAGCCTTCCTTTTAGCTTGTCTCCGTAGAGGCTCTTCTTTTGATAAGCGCAAAACCTACACCAACAACTTTTCTTGTCCATAAAGACGGCACTTTGTTGTGTACAGCGTTTCGGGCTTCCTTTCAAAAGGGGATCTTTTACTGTTTGCCATACATTCCTGTTGATGCACATTCATATGGTAATGAGGATTCTCGGAGTAGCTTTTTCTCTTTTTACATCAGCAAACGCCAGAGATTGTCCGGGGTTACATCACACGTCAACACTAGCATCCCCGCTGAGATGCTTTGGCAGTGTGGCTGAATGCATATACTACTTCCTCTTAAGTGCATTGTCTTGAGACCCAACTATCTTAAGATGTATGACTAAACAAGGCTCTCCGATGACGTATTTATTGAAAAAAATAACAAGAATGCCCTCTGTGATACGACTCACTTAGCTCATTAAAAATACAGATGCCCCACATTTCTCCTTTACCACTTGACAGTATGTCTTTCAAAACTGCCTTTCTACATAATTGTTGTACAAACAAATCAGACCGACATGGTTTTTGTGTGAGAAAGAAAATGTAGCTCACTATGGGTTTGGCATGTTGCTCTACCTAAATATAATAATTCTGACATGAGTGGACAACCACCATAGAGTTTTATATTACAGTGCCATGCTCGTGTCATTGTTATTTCGAAACCCCTGAGCAAGCACACATTGTTCATTCATGGGGCGAAAGTGACGCCACGCAAACAAGTTAAACAGCAGGAATGGCATCCCAAAAATTCTATCCAACGTCTCTTTTAAATGCAAGTTACCATGGAGCTGCCCTGAGTTAATGACTGGGGAGGAAGGCAACATGACAGCCCAACCCCCTTACCCTTAAACACAACACAGCGAGTTAGCGCACTGGCTCCTGTTCTGCTTTGGATTCCTCTGGCCACAGCTGTGGAAATGTTCAGGGAAATCAAGTAGAGGCAGACATTGGGGAAAATACTAAAAAAAAAAAAAAAAAAAAAAAAAAAAAAAAGTTCCCCAAACTGAGGGTTGCATTTGGTATGGCTCTCGGGTCTGTTTTCATTGTGTTGATTATTGACAGAATAAAATCTGTTATTGTTCTTCAGGCAAGTTAATATTATGGAAAGGCATGACCTATTTTAAAGTTTGGGTCTCGTGCAGGAATTTCAAATCTTGTTCTGAACAACTTTCGAAAACCCTGGTTTCAATGAACGATAGACTACTGTATGCTGGGCCAATGGCATAGCCCAACGCAGAGGCCTTCCTCTGAGCAGCCGCAGATATCATACTCTATTTCTAGCAACAGGGCACTGACAGTCAACAGCAGCTCGCACACAAGGCAGCTCAACTATTTGCTCTGGAAGGGAGCAAAAACATGAGCAAAACAATTCGTGATCTTTTACAGTCCTAAAACTGCCTGTCCCAAAAACAATAGTCGCATAGTCAGAGGCTAAATTGGTTCCATTAGAACACATGAATAGTGTGATCATTGTTGAGGATAAATGTGGTGTACTACAACATCAATCCAAGCTCTTAAAGGATGATACAATGAAGGAAACTTGCAAATAAAAACACATTTCTGTCTTTTTGAGCAAATCATCAAAATGCCACGGCTTAACTTTTTTATTTACTGCAAATCCGTCACAAACTGGTGAAACGTGTGCACTTAGAGCTGGTTGATATAATTTTCACGAAATGTTCGATATCATTATGCACTATATATATATATATATATATATATATTTCGAGTTGAGTCTAAATTTGCACTTTGTACTTCATCAAAACACAAAAACGAGCATAATTACATTCACAGCTTTTTAAGATTTCTTTCCTATAAACGAACAGGCATGTGGCTACTTGTCTACTTTTGCTATCTAGCAACGATCTTGATCAACGAGCTGTCTACTACTACGCCTAAATACGTTGTGATTTCACTCCTACATCAGTAATAGTAATCTGCATGGCAGTGAATAATTCATTTTCCAAACCACTTGATCCTCACTCGGGTCGTGGGGGATGCTGGAGCCTATCCCAGCCGTCTTCGGGCAGTAGGCGGGGGACACCCTGGACCGGTTGCCAGCTAATCGCAGGGCACACATAAACGAACAACCATTCGCACTCACACTCACACCTCAGGACAATTTGGAGTGTCCAATCAGCCTGCATGCATGTTTTTGGAATGTGGGAGGAAACCGGAGGACCCGGAGAAAACCCACGCAAGCACAGGGAGAACATGCAAACTCTACACAGGAAGGCCGGAGCTGTAATTGAACCCGGAACCTTCTGCACTGTGAAGTCAACGTGCTAACCACTCGTTACTTCTTACAAATAGCATTCTCATGAAAGAATTATGGGAGTAATTAACAGAGGGAGGATTGGAAAGCTATGATACTTTCTCAGGTAACCTGATGTTTTCGATCGTAAAAGATCGTGCGTGGGTGACTGAGTACAAATTTCACAGAAATCTTGCTGGAACTGCGTTAAAGCAGAGCATATCCACTTTTGAACAGCTAAATAACGGGCGAGTTAATAAGCATCTGGAGAAAATGGTTATGGTTGTTGCGGCAACCCGTATGTCAGCTGGGGGGTGTGGCCTAGAACATTAAAAGCATTTTAATATTCAAGATAACCGATTCAGAAAATTGATGGGTATAGCATATTGAATACATATATTACTCATGTGATTTGTTTTCACAATACAGTCATGAGTTTTGAATTGGACTTTTGAGATCTGCATAACAAATGTTCTCAAAATGACCTTAATGTAGAGCTCATATTTTATTTAATTTTTAATCACTTTCTGTCTGAAATATTATTTTTATGCCTGTTAGATTGATATCTGCATTTGTTCAAAAATATGCAGGCAATTTTGCTTCTGGTTTGGATAATTTTATCCAGCAGCAATACTGGATGCATTTCTCATTTGATGTAAGTCTTTGTTTAAAGTCATTTGGGAATAAAGTGAGAAAAGGTAAGCAGGCATGGTATGTTGTACAATTTGTTTTTTTTGTTTTTTTGATAGAATAACTCAAATAAGTCATAGTATATCGTTGTCGTGATATAAAATAGCCTATACCATGAGAGATTTTTTTTCCCCATATTGCCCAGCACTATGTTCAGTCTGATAAATCATGGATAACTTGTGAAACTAGATATTCCTTTTGGCATGGTTTTGCCATTTGGATAAATTGAAAGCCAATTGCTTTGCTCCCACTTCATTTGAAACATCATCTGAACAAAGAGACACGTCAAAATCCAACGCAGATGGTTTCATGATACAGATGTTTTCACTGGAACCCATTTTGTTCATAACCAGATGTCATTCACACACACAAATCCCGTCACCGACACCAGAAAAACTCGAACAGGAGAATGAGTTAGTTGTTATTGGACTACACTGTGAGTGTTCCCATCTAAAACCCGATGTGCTATTAATTTAGTGTTAAAATGTGCCTACATTAGTTTGAAAAAGAAAACCCGCCACCAGTTAGAGAATCTTAAAAGAAAGCAAAGAGGTCTGAGGTGTCTCGTTCCTTTGCTTTGCATCCAGAAGAGGAGGAGTGCCACCAGGCGGAATGTACTATGAGTGGAGGATGATGACAGTAATCATACAGGAAGGAGGGTGAAAGTTCGCTGATTTAGGAGATCCACAGGAGTTGAGGCCACTCCGTGCGGCCATCCTACCTGAATGCTGTGGTGTCTTGCTTGCAGGTGACTTGACAGATTTTACCACTCGGCTGGCTGTTTGGACCCCTGTTCCCCCAGGGCACATCTGAGGAGAGGGACGCTCCTGGTTTAGGCTCCCACCACGGGCCGAGGATGAACCCTCTATGCGTTGCTTCATCTCAGATGACAACAGGCGACCTTTGTGCATCCACTGTTGCATTTTGTTGACAGTGACACCGTGGCCCTTGTTCACTAAGTGTGGCCCCTGTGCTGGAACCTGAGTTGATTGTTGCTTATTATCATGTCCGAGAGGCGCTGATCCCTCTGTGTTGCTGTCCGAAGAACCAGTCAGGCTGTTGACTGAACAACTGCTTTCAATAAGGTTCCCGCCGGCGGCTACTTGAAAACGCTCGTCACTGCTGGCGGCATTGTAAACCACCTGAGATTTTGAAAGCTCACCCACTCTTAGAACTTCAGCATCCTCACCGTCTCGGTCAGGTTTTAGCTCTGAAACCACTTGATCATCGCACACCATTGGATTGGTTCTAAGAGGATTTGTGCACTGCAACGGTCCAGCTGAATATCCGATGTCTCCGTCACTAGCAGAGCGGACTAAAGTAGGTTTTATCTTAGCCAGAGAGAGATTGTCCATGCTCTTACAGTTTAGTCTGGTTTTGAGGCTTGAATCAATGTGTCCGCCAAGACACAATAGCAAGGAATCTGTGTCAGACACCTGCTGGGGGTTGTGGTCACCTCCAGAGGACCACGAGTCACTGTCCATGTTCCGGGCAGACAAACGCGAGCACAAGCTATCTCTCGAGTGGCTACTACAGGAGGAGGTGGTCTGATGTTCAGTTAAACCAGCACTTACCTGCTGGTCCAAATTGATGTCATTCATAGCATTGATCAGGAGATAATAAGCCTCTTTCAGCTGGTTTCTAAGTCTGTCTGTTTCCTGGGCACTGTGACTATCATCAGCTTGTCCTTCATCCTGACCAATCGGGGGCAGCGTCATCACGTCTCTTCTGTCACTTGCACTTTTTGCTCGAGTTTCATAGAAAGGGAGAATTTCGTTATCATAGTAATCATCATCTTCACTGTTTAAAGGATGTTTGAGTGATACCTTTGTGTCACACATGGATGTCATGTTAATGTCACATATATCTAGCTCAGTTGGGAAGAAGGCCGGGCTCTGCAGAGGGCCCCTGAAGTCCCCTGAGTACACAGGGTCAAAGCTCTCAATTGTTCGAAAGAGGTTTTCTTCTGTTTGAGCAGGGATTGGATTCACAAGCATTGATGTCTCCAAACTTTGGTTGTTGGGATTATGTACATCTACAGCAATGACAGTTCTTGGCACATGCTGGGAATGTCCTTGGATCAGGGGCTCACAATCAGAAGTGGTGCAGTTCCCTGATTGTGCATAAGAATAAATATCACTTGAATTGTCCCCGAAGCCAATAGAATCTCCTACGCTGCATTTCCATGGGACTGAGGTGAGGTGTTTCCTCTGGGCATGCGTTTCCCCAAAGGACACCCCTCCTGAAATCGTGATCGTGTCATCACACGCGGGCTCCCAGTGGCTCGTATTAGCTTCGGTAATCGCGTGTCCCGCAAACGGCACCTCTCTTTGAAGTGGGGCCCCCGGGAGCTGCCCATTAACCCGAACCCTGCCCCCGCTGCTGAGCAACGGCGGACGTGAGCCGGCTAACTCCACTGACGGACTCAGCCGGAGCAACTCAACCCCCGTGGTTTGCACCACCGGCACGTCAAAACAATTCTCGTACGTGCTCATTCTCTCTGCCGTGTAATCCAGCCCTGATAGCGTGACTACCGGGTGAGCCTCGACGGCGTCACGCTGCATTTGCAAAACTTTTTCTTTACCTTCTCGGCCCACATTCGCAGCAGCGGTAGAGCCGAATCCAGCGCTGAGCGTCTCTCCTTTCTTGGACTTTTTCCCACGGAGTTTCGCAAGTAAAGTCCTCCGCAGAGGATCAGCCATTCCTTTCCGATGCCCCTGATAAGTGAAATTCCTCCCGATTCCTTTCAATACGCTGGTTCCAGAGGGAAAGAGTCGAATGGGTTCTCTTCTCTCGCCGCAGAGGTCTCAGCTCGCCGCTGGAGCCTCGTCTCCATTCTCTGCTGTCACCTCCGCACTGGCTCCACGCTCTGTGCAGCCTGCCGAAACTCGCCCACCTCTCTCTCTCTCTCTCTCTCTCTCGCTCTCTCTCTCTCCCTCTCTCTCTCTCTCTTCACATCAACATTAGCACAAGTGTCAGCTTCTAAAATGTTTTTAAGGTCAGGAAAAAAGTCGATGCACAGTCCCTGGGCCCAAACTCATTTGAGATGGACTGACACACATGATATGTGCGTGTATATATTTTTATGTTCTGTTGAATATATATAATTACAACAAAATATTATATATATATACTGTATATATAATATTTTGTTGAATTTCTCCTTTCTATATAACAATGACATTCTGGCAATTTGAAACGTCTTTTTTCATTGCATGTGTTGGGAGTTTTAATTCCATCTCCAATACCACAAGCTACACACAAACTTTCAAAATTCACCACATATCTGTCCCTGAAATGTAAACTAGAGGCAGTTGTTGACATAGGCTGATGAGTGAGGAAAATACGTGATTAAAGAGCAGAAAAATCAACTCTCATGTTAGAAAAATGTGCTGAACCTTCAGCAAGAAGGAAAAATTGGACAAAAGTGGTGATCATTTTTTGGCTCTCAATCACACGATCTTGAATGACTGTGGGGTTTTTTTTTAGGTTTATAATCAATATTGCACAAAAGAAGGCTCTCTCATTTTTTTGCCTCCACGCCAACACCACGCATGGACTGCCACAAGATCGATTGCTGCCGATTATTGAACTGACACTTTTATCTCAAGTGCATCTTGAGTAATCCCCTCTTCTTTGACCTTGCAGCTAACCCTGTCCAAGCTGGCAGCACAACCTCGGGCTTTAAGAGAACTGAGGCAGCAAAGAAAAGGAATGAAACATTCTTCATTTGAACCTTAAGCCATTTGTTTGCTGTTGCCTTTACCTGGAATGTGCAAAAGGACAAGCTGTTGAAAAGCTGCGAGCGTGTGAGTGCATATGTGCTTAGGGGACATGTTGTTAAAACACTAACACACAAATGCACACACACACACACACACACACATACAAATTCAGAGGGTTTTATAGTAGTCCTTTGCTTCAATTTTCTTTATTGCCAAATAGTTAGCCATCAACAGGGCCCCTGTGTCTCCCCGCCACCAACACACACACAAAACAGCCATCACCACCGCCACCCTCATGATAAGCATCTGTTATTACACTGCAGGAGCCATGGAGACCTGACGCCTCAGTCTGCCTCCCCAACTGACTGACTGACTAGACCCTGTCTGGGCAGTTATTTTCAGGTCAAAACCTGCTGACTGCAAAGTGTGTTGTGTGGAAAAAAGAGCCAGAGGGGGGCAAGAGGAGGAGGAGGAGGAGTGGGGAAAGAGACCACATGTTTGAGGAACAGGACAAACCTTTGGACTCCACTGTAGGACACACTCACGACAGGGTGTGGAAAGTCTTTTCTGAATAATAATGGTTATTAGTGGTTTTATGCAGAAACAGTTTATTTTCTGGAACATGATATGCCACAGAGGAGAAATAATAACAATAATAATGAAAAACATACAGCATTCGTGAGAAGGTAACATCAAGAACACACATTATTCACTTACATAAATCTGCTCTACACACCAACTACACAGTGCTTGGAAAAAAAAAAAAGAAATAGAGGAAGTCTTTTCTGTGTCCCCTACCACCACCGCAACCATCATCCCTGATTACCAGTCACTTTCGCCCATTGTGAAACCAGTGGCAGAACATCTGCTTAGTTGCCCCCCTTTCCAAGGCCTGGTCAGAGAGAAAGAAAACCGCATGTGAGAGCATGAGAGCAGAAGGGAATGGAGAGTGGACTGACTATATTTGCGTGTGTGTATGTGTGTGTGTGTGTGTGTGTGTGTGTGTGTGTGTGTGTGTGTGTGTGTGCGCGCGTGTGTGCGTGTGTGTGCACCTGACTGCGTGTTGGAGCTTCGCAGCTGTTGGGTCTCCCCTCCTGATGGCTGCCCATTGTTCCCACTCTCTATGTCTCTGGCTCTGCCTCTCTGTCCACGGCTGCTTTATGGGCTTTCCTTTTTTCGAGTGTGCACTGCAACTAAATTTATGTGCTGGACACGAGACTTTCTCAGGGTATAAATTAGGCTGCATGATGGCTGTCAGAGAAGCCTTGCCCAGGGGACTGCAGCTTTATGTCACGGAGAATGACATTATTAGTTGTTCATTAGTCATTCACATTTTACAATGAAATAAAATCATAAAAGGCTCACTGCAAATCAATCATGGCATTTATTTAAATTGTGGTTGTGTTGGTTTGAAGAAAACATTTTATAATATTTCAGTGTGCAGTGATATGTATATATGACGTGCTAACCAGTCGTCGACTGGTTAGCACGTCGGCCTCACAGTGCAGAGGTGCCGGGTTCGATTCTGGCTGCAGCCTACCTGTGTGAAGTTTGCATGTTCTTCCTGTGCGTGTGTGGGTTTTCTCCGGGTCCTCTGGTTTCCTCCCACATTCCAAAAACATGCATGGTAGGTTAATGGAACACTCTAAACTGTCCGTCCTCTAACATCTCATTAAAAAAAAAAAAAAAAAGTTTCTGTCAAAGAACTGACAGCGATAAAAGTATTTGAACATGTTAAATGAGTCGTTCATGCTAAAAGCTTCCAAATGTGCTATCTGAGTGAGATTCAGATAAAACTGATTTTACATTGCAGTTAATACTAACACTTAGTAGAACAATGACCTCTACCAAGGTTGAACAGGGGACAGAGGATATCTATATATTTTTTTTAATTTTAACTATTAAACCCCCCCCCCAAAAAAAAAACACTGGTGTGTCTTAGTTATGTTTGTTGTCCGATCAGTGTGAAGCAATCGATAGATTCTGCCATTGTGCATGCACTGAAAAGAGCAAGGTAGTTAGTGGCAATGCTTTATTTGAAAAGAAAGAAATCCAGTTCTTCCCGGCGGATGTCAAAGCGTTCCCAGGCCAGCTGGGAGACATAATCTCTCCAGCGTGTCCTGGGTCATGCCTGGAGCTTCCTGCCGGTGCCACATGCCCGGAACGCCTCACCAGGGAGGCATCCAGGAGGCATCCTAATCAGATGCCCGAGCCACTTCATCTGGCTCCTCTTGACGTAGAGGATAAGTGGCTCGACTCTGAGCCCCTCCCTGATGACCGTGCTTCTCATCGTATCTCTAAGGGAGAGGCCGGACACCCTGCAAAGGAAACTCATTTCGGCCGCTTGTGTCTGGGATCTCGTTCTTTCAGTCACGACGCATAGCTCGTAACCATAGGTGAGGGTAGCAACATAGATCGAGAGCTTCGCCTTTTGGCTCAACTCCTTCTTCACCACAACAGATCGATACAAAGTCCGCAACACTGCAGACGCTGCACCGATCCGCCTGTCGATCTCCCACTCCATCCTGCCCTCGTGAGCTCATGAACAAGCCCCCGAGATACTTGAACTCCTACACTTGGGGTAAGTAAGATCTCATCCCCGGCCCGGAGAAAGCACTCCACCCTTCTCTGACTGAGGACCATTGTTTCATGTCCGGAGGTGCTGATTTTCATCCCAACCACTTCACACGCGGCTGCGAACTGCTCCAGTGAGAATTGGAGATCCCGGGTTGAAGAAGCCAACAGCACCATATCATCTGCGAAAAGCAGAGATGCAATACTAAGACGACCAAACTGGACCACCTTTACGCCTGGGCTGCGCCAAAAAATTCTGCATATGCGTATGATTTCAATAGTTGTGATTTCTGGCAAAAGACTGCCGGGCTCCTGAATTATGAAAAAAACATGAAGTGGTTTTGTGTTGGAATGAATGGAGTTGTCTCTGTGTTTGTCTAACTCTGAAACCGCAGCATTGTTAGAAGGATACGTGGAAAAATGCTCAACTTCGGGGAAACCACGATGGAAATATTCTGCTGCCGTCTGTCATCCGTGCGACACTATTACAGTAAATTATAATATTACGCTTACGTCTGAGCATTTCATTTTTATATCCAATGTGAAGCCAGTGCTGTGGTTTCCACCAGCAGAATGCTCTGAATCCCCCACCTCATTTAAAACACACACACACACGCACACACACACGCACACACACACACACACATCCACACACACACACGCACACGCAGACACACACACACACACACACACGCATCCACACACACACACACATAAGAAATACTGTATATGACATACACCACTTTATTTCTATCAATGTGTGTTTATATTTTTTCAAAAGATTACTTGAACAGAATTTCTAAGAAATGACAATACCCCATTATGGATGGCCTATTTTCAGAACAGACAGGTGGGCAACTCATGTGTGTAGTCCTGCTCTAAATTATGGGGGGGCAGAATACAGAATAAACACGATTCACGATTTTCAGAATTTGAGTGTATCAAATCAAATCCAAATCAACTGTTGGTGAATGAAATCAAGCGTCCAAGAGTCCAAATTATGATAGAACACTTTCACACATTCACCGATTTCGAACTCTGCAGGCGTATCGAATGCTGTGGGTGGAAATAAGAGATGAATGCAATATCTGGTATGCAGGTTGTTTGGTGTACCCCAAACTGTGTCATATTTGGGAAAACAAATACCAATCAATGTCTCTATTGAGAGCTTTAATACGATTTTCAAAACAAATATCTAACATATTTTCAGCTGCAAGTGGGATGAGGACTTCAACTATAATGACTATGACTTCTATGGTTATTTCAGTCTGAACATGGTTGATAAAATCAGTCTGTGGGTACGCACTACAGACAAGAGCTGGAAGTTCCTGGAAGCTGGAATCTTATCAGAAGCAATTTCATGTCGACCTATGATGACAGATAGGCTGGAAGCATTCACGTGATTGCCTAACTGTTTCGAAGTTGATGGTTTTTTTTCTTGCTTGCAGAAGAATTGCTCCAGTGGCCACAGATAATTCAAAAAATAAATTTGTGTGCGCACACCTACATATGGTAAAAATGCTCAGTCTATCAAATGCCATACAATGAAATTTGGGAAATTACATGTCTTTTTGTTGACAGAGACAGAATATACAAAACGTTTTTCTACGTGAAGCGAGCAAGTGCATTGATAAGGGTGGGCAGATCATCCATCCATCCATTCATCCATCAGTCTTCGCGGGTGTCCTGGAGCTGTCCCATCTGTCAATGGGCGGTAGGGAGGGTACACCCTCAACTGGTTACCATGCCAGTCGCAGGGCACACAAAGGCAAACAACTATTCACACTAACAATCACACCTCAAGACAATTTAGAACACGGGTGTCAAAGTCAAGGCCCGGGGGCCAGATCTAGTCCGCCACATCATTTTACGTGGCCCGCGAAAGCAAATCAAGCATGTCAAGTTCCATGATGCTTGCTAAAGTCTGAACCAAAATTTCAAATTGTCACATGTAATCCACAGTAACAGTCATTATTCTTGACTTCTGATTTTAAAACTAGTTATCCATCCATTTGTTGTGTGCTGTGTATGTAATATGTAGAGGTGATTCAACATTTATATGGTTTCCCAAAATTCATAACGGCCCTCCAAGGGAAACCGTAACTACAATGTGGCCCGCGACAAAAATGAGTTTGACACCCCTGATTTAGAAGGTTCACCCAACCTACGATCCATGTTTCTGGAATGTTGGGGGAAACCGCAGTACTCGGAGAAAACTATGCAAACATGCAAACTTGTCTGACTTCCGACAGCACAAGGCAGTGGATTTTGGAGTGGTATAATGGTGCCATCTGGTGAAAAAAGTAGCGCAACACATTTCTTTCTGGCAGTAGAATCGACAAATGCAAAAATCCTTCGTTTTACGCGGTTAATTGCTCCCGGACCCACCCCCTCATGAAAAGTGAAAAACCGTGTAGTAGGATTTGCGACCCCCACCCGCACCCTCTAGGAATTGTCGTGTTTGTATGTGGATGGAATGTTTGCATCCAGTTATACGTGAAAAGGGATTTCACGGCTGTTCCACAGCATGTTAGCACCCTCTGTTGGTGAAAATCTGAGACTACAGTCAGTTGACAGACTCATTGTCTGATGTTTTTGCAGGCAACATCACAGGTATCAGCATGTTTAAAATATGTGAAGTTTTTTTTTTACTTTACATATTTGAGAGAAAGATTGCAACAGTACACGTATTTACTCAAATCTTTAATTATAAAACCTTACACAGTCATGAACATTGATGAACATTGCCTTCTGAGAGAGGTGAAGAGGCTTGTGTTGGTGGCGTAGGAGGCGGCTCTCACTTGACTCGTAGGCTGGAGAATGAGGTTTTTAAATCGGAGAAAATCACGGTGATGGGCAGCCCTATGACGTTCACCTTGTCTTCTTATTACCGGGAGTTAAAATAGGTTTAAGGTTTCTTTTTTTATCAGACAACGGGCTTTTTTTAGTGAAGAAAAAAACTGACTGAGCTGAAAGTTTCAGCTGTCATTTTAGCCTGTGGACTACCCTCTCCCTACCTCCCGTCGCCGCGCGAAAGCAATGTGTCTCTATTAATGGTGCCATCTCCGACAAGCTGCAGCTTTTTGTTCAGCATGCAGGGAAACCTGCTCTCTCGCCACATCAACATGAAACAACGTGTCTTTCCGCAATATGGGTGCCGATATGGCTGTAATTCTTTTTTAATATTGAAAAAAAAAAAACACACACGAAACACTGAAGCCACAAAACTGAAGCCCGAAGTGGTGAGGGATCATTGTACAACACTGAATTCAGTAAAACTTGTGATAAAAACAGACCGCTACACAATCGTTTGTTTAGCTAATGATATGTAACTGAAAATGAAATACAAATAAAAATAATTTGATTTTATTTCTATTCACTAGGACTACAAATTCTTGCTACAATTTCCACAACCATAGCAAAACCCCCAAATTATTTACCTTCTCTGGTAACAATTTTATTGAAACGACACGTTTGGTGCATCAAGGAAAGGTGACGCAAAATCTGCTATTTGGAGTACTATGAATTGGCTCAAGACAGCCTGTCACTGTGAATGTAAATAGAAGAGTAGTATTAAAAATGGTGAGCGGGCTGCATTTGTGCACCAAGACAATAAAGCTAACATGAAAACAAACACCTTGATAAATTACATCACTCAACAGACACTTTAGTCCAGTTGCACTCAAACTCTTTGCAGTCCAATTGCGATTCAGGACATCGATCTAAATGCCCCATGTGCTCTTTACTGATGAAACATAAAAAGTTAATAAAAATAATGATCATAATGAAACCGATTTCTTTTGGGGGCAACTTTGGATTTCATTCAATCTTTTGTCGGAGGATTCTTTTTTCCTCTTCAACAAAACTCTTGTCAGACGTAGCCTGTCCCATGTCTCTCTTCCGCTTCTCCTTTTGCTGGAAGCTCTCCACCTTACGTTTCTTGGCTGACGAAGGTGACGTCTTGGACTCCTCATCTAATCAGCAAACAAGAGGGTTGCAGTGGAACAGTCACAATTTAAAATGATTAAGGTCAACAATATTCAACAAAAACAGAGCCAACACAAGCGATCAAGTCTCTCAAGTTAAAGAGCTGTTGGGTGAATTTTGATATTTTCATGATTGCTGCCATAAGGATTTTGCTGGCAGTTTGCCAATCCTTTGTAACAAAGTTGCTTCTTCTACAGTCCCTTCATAGCCACTTCATTAGCAGCCTACGACCACCAAATTTCTTGCCATGTAATACAATCGCAGTATAATAATTGCTGCCTTTCTTAAGACACTAACACTTAACTTTGGCAGACACCGTCAGTGACGTACTCATGTAAGAGTGTACAGATTTGCACTTATAATTAGACAATGTCAGTGTTGCAAAAAAAATTCAGACAGTGTCACAAGCATTTTAATATCTTTTAAGAGGTACAATTTCATACTTTAGATCTCATTAGCTGCTGTACCTAATGTTCTGGCTAATGAGGGGCAGACCAACAATTATATGCTGGCAAAGTTGTTTTTCTTATATATTCCACACGGCCAACCCCCGCCAATGGATGACCCCAAAGCCCTGTCTAATAGGAGAGTCGGAAATGCTCTTGTGGATTGTATTGTTGAAGTGATACATCTCAAATAAAAGACTAAGATCTTTGTATGTTGCGGAGGAGCTAAGTTTAGTCTTTGTTTGTCGTAATATACAAGCACATTAACGTTACCTTTAAGTTGTCAAAGATTGATGGGTGGCACTCATGTGATATTCTCTCCCTATCAAGTCGTGGTACAGACACTGTGAGCTCAAAGTAGGGAGAGTAGCAGCACCCACATCTAATATGAATGAAGTGGTTTCACAGAGAGATTTTCTAGACCAGCAAAGACTAAAATTGCAATAAAACTTCTCACCATAACGGCAAATACAGCTAATTATGTTTAGACGTAAAAATGATTTGCTCCATTTTCCTCTCCCCGTCATCAGGTTCAATTTGTGTAGATATCATGGTAATGGGCCACAATTAACTGCTTTAAAGCTTGGGAAAAAAGTTGCACCTTACACTACAAACATCACAGTATGTTACCATATTGGTACATGTAATTTGTATTTTCATACATGTATAATAACAAAGTGTACTGACCTGAGTCAACATGTTGCTCTTCTGGTGGAAGGAACTGGGCTTTTCCTGTGTGAGCCTTTGGTGCATCTTCACCATTGTCCTCATACACATTGGACCATTTTATGGCCATGTCCATACCCGGAGGAGGTCCCTTCTTCTTCTCAGGCTCCGCTGCATAACTTTGGGGTGGGGGCACAGCATTTGTCATCCATGGCTTAAATTCCTTTGGTGCCTAAAAACAGCAGAGGGAAGCAGAATGAACAATGGAGAAACATACTGAGCAGACTGCTAAAGCATTCTTTTAAATACAAATCATCTACGAAAGAAGTACATTTGGTAGGTGGGCCTTTACAGTGGGTTCTTGGCCGACTTAACCCACCTCTCTTTATCACTACTGTCACAGTGCAATTATAGAAACCAACCATTAATACTATCCAAAAATGCAGTATAAAAGTGTGCAGCTGAATCACATACATTATTTGGACCAGTTTAGAAACAGTTTTATCTAATAAAGCCACAAAGCATGAAATCATCATACTCATCCGAGGTGCTAGTTGTTTGTGCAGATCACTACAGATGTTCTCACTAATCAAAGTTGACTGGAACCAATTTTGCTCAGACGAACCAACCAGAGGACTGGGAATTGCCGATCGAGAGCCACCTCATTGTCCTTTAAAATCTTATTGGCTCAATGAGCAGTCCCAATGCTCAATTCTTGTATCTTGTTGCTCATATTGTATCTGTCGTCTGTGTATGCCTGGACCTCGGGTCATTAGATGTAGCTGATTAATTTATGAATAGATCGTATGACAATTTAAATCTCCCAGCTCAGGTTACCTCTTCGGGAGCTTTCACCGTCAATTTATCCCAGTCGATCTCCTTATTCAGAGGATTGTAAAGAAACGTTGGTTTGGACACCGAGTTAAAGAGCTCGTCTGGTTTAGGCAAACGATTTTCACTGGCTTCTCGTTTGCTTTCTTGGTCGGAAGAGTTCGGTTCACTTCTCGTTGCTTCGGTCTCTGGTTTGTGTCTCGGATCTCTCCGGCGGCGCTCAGCCTCTTCGTCCGAGTCGCTACTGTCGCTCAAATCGTCGTAACTCGCAAAGAAGCCCAGAGAGCCTGTCTTCTTGTCTTCAGTCATTATGTCGGGCTCGGTATTTTCTTGCGCACATGGATCGTTGAAGATAAATTGCACACAATGTTGATTACTGGAATACAAAACCGCATTCAATCCTTTGCGTTTTCTTAACCTTACTCCATTTTGAATCAACCTCCAATACAGTCGCAAAGTGGTTTGTTCGTATATGTCGTAAACATTGTCGTAAACACTCGCCGCCGTTTGAACTGGGAGTCCGGCAAAGGACCCGTTTCTCCACATAAGTTTATTGCTTCCGTATGAACACGTTTTAAAAAATCTGAGCTCTCTGATTTGTATGCTATTTTCATGCGTTTTTTTAAACGTCACTTATGTTGCTACAACATAGAAAAAATACCACACACACAATCTGCCTTCTGCCCAAATTCAGCTGGGACAGGCTCCAGCAACTCCCCGTGACCCTGTTCAGGATAAGCGGTGTTGAAAATGTTCATGGATAACAATAGTAATAATCATCATCATCATCATCATAATTATGGGCAGAATGGTGGTAAACTGATTAGCCCATACACTTCACAGTGCAGAGGTCACGGGTTCGATTCTCCGGCCTTCCTGTGTGGAGTTATTCTCCCCGTTCCCCGTGCCTATGTGGGTTTTCTCTGGGTACTCCGGTTTTCTCCCACATTCCAAAAGCATGCATGGGGAGTTAATTGATCACTCAATAAATATAATTTACATCAACATTATCTTGTTAAGCAAGGGACCAATTAAGGACTGTCACATTTTGTCTCCCTTGTCGAACTATTGCTCTTGTTCACCGCTTTTGCCCAAGTACCATGTTATAGATCTCTCGTTCTTGTTCGTAGTCGCTCTCCTCATCATAGAATATTTTGTTTGCGAGTATTTGTTAAATCACTGAATTTGTTCTTGGTTTCATGTGATTGAACTAACCTCATTTCGTTTTGCGTATTTCTCACTAATCATTCTGTCCTTGTAATTGGCAAGCGCTTTCTGTTGCCATTTGGTTTTCCTGTTTTTTTTGTCGCCAGCGCTTTTTGTTGACTACTTTGTCAGTCTCTCGCTTTTCTTTAAATAAACCTCTTTTGTTATCACCCTTTATCTGAGTCTGCATTTGTGGGATCCACACTCCATCCGGTCTGATTCCAGACCACTTGTCAACATTCTTAAAACTAAGATCATTTGGCCAGACAGTCTTAGTTCTGCGCAACAATAAAGCTCATTTGCAAAAGCTCACCTCTCAAAACTGCTCACTTAAGGTTCAAGCCAGATCCCTTTCTTATATAAGGAGTCAGTCCCATCAAAATTCAAAGATGCTTCTCAATTGCCTTGGCTCATTTGCATCCACTTGGTGCTTTTGCCAAAAATAATTTGGATGGTTCACCAGAACACCTGCAAACGCTTGTATCTCTCCCAAAACAGTTGACCTAGGTGCCAAAACTGAATTCCTTTCTCAAAAAAATAGTCTCAAATAAAATGCATGACTGTATCCCTTTGGAATTGTGTCAGCATTGCAAGTTAAAATGCCCAAATGTTTTGTCACTACAGCAAAGGTCAAGCTAACACATTACAATGATGTATGAAACTGAAGATAAGAAAGATTTGGTGGCGGTGTTTTTTTTTTTTTTTTTTTTTTCTCGTGTGGAGTGCTGACTTGTTGGTTGTCAGTCGCAAGAGCAAATCAGCAGTAGCAGTAAAAGCAAAACAGTCACGCCACAGGTCTGGCTCCATGATTTTTTCTCTCTCAGGATAAAAGGGGGTGGCTTGACCAATTATTGGGTTGGGCGCACGGGGGGGGGGGTAATTTTAAAATTCAGTATATTTAAAAAGTCAAATAAAATGCTGGAGGGTCTTAACTGGGGCGATACATATTTCTGACGGGTCTTATAGCCCACCCTGGTGTAACGCCATCCCTGCCCAACCAGGAGCCAGCTGGTCTTGCTGGTGTCACCAGCTACCATCAGTGCAACAACAGCATGTTGGTTTTGCTGAGTGGTGTGCATCAGTTGGGAGAGCTGTTTTTTTTTTTGTTGTTGTTTTTTTTTTTTTTTAGCAGGGTTCACGGCAAGGGCAGCCTAAAAAATTTGATATCCCAAACACTGAACTTTTACCGCCAAGGAAATTGCAAGCATTTTTATTCACTCACAAAGTAACTTCCATATATTAATGTAGAGTACGTAAAAAGAAAATGTATGCAGTATTCTGTACATTTAAGGTACATAAACACAAAAAAAACATGTATATGTATATCTGGTCTACAGTGCTCTAAATAAAGTTTCAAAACTACACTAACACTTTCACCGGTTGTTGTTGTTGTCACCCCCCCTCTCTTGGCCACTATTCTCATCCTCCTGGCCGGACACGCACTGCTCTGAGTTTGGCCATAGATTTTCATCGACTTCGCAGATTTCTGTTGTGATGCAACGAAGGAAGATACGCTGCAAATGTCTCAACCCATTTCCTATGCTGATCCCCTGTGATTTGCCAGCACGCAGCATCCATCGAATGGAGTACTGTAGGGACCTCTGGGACTGAACCCCATGTTCATAAGCTTTCCATCTCCAAGCGGGGAAAAATAAAATCATTAATCGAATTGAGGATAGGAGAGTGCCATGGTAGCATCTCAATTCCATCAATTTTTATCAAAAATTGTTGATAAAAAAGTTATTCATATATGGTATTATGTACTTGACTAATTTTGACAATTGAACAGAGTATTGTGTAAATGATGACGTATACAAGTAAATGATGATGACATATTTTGGAGAGAACAACAATTCCACTTAGAACCAGTTAATAAGTATAGATACGCAAGATCTATTTATTTGGAAAATGTGGTCAATGTGGGCTGATTGTGCTCTGTAGGCTACTACTTGTACTTGATAACCCTTTTGAAAGATCACTGTGACATTGGACATTGATTTCATCAAATTGCGTGAAATCAATGAGAAATTCGAATTTGTTGTGAAGGATTGCAAGGCGGTGTGGAGATTTGTTCAAGTTATCATGAGAATGTTATTTCTGTTTCAAAAAAATGAGACAAACCAACAGAGAAAAACTGTAATAGCCCTATGACGAAACACCGTGGCCAGTGGCTGTTGTCTTTATTTGTGCGTGCGTGTGTGTGTGTGTGTGTGTGTGTGTGTGTGTGTGTGTGTAATTGGCTCAATATTTTTACTTTACCTATTAAGTCCAATAAAAATAAATAAAAAGACTTTTTTGATCAATTGCATCTGCTTTTGAACAGGGTAATTGTATAAACAAGATGCACCTACACTTTTTGGCCACTAGATGTCTGTGTAGTCAAGCAAAACAAAAAGTTGAGGTCAGAGTCAAAGGGCTCCCAAAAAAGGTAATATACAGTATATTCATGCAGTACAGTATAAGTATATATTTTTAAGTATTTAACTTGTGTAGTTTTACCAGTTTTTGGACTGACACCTGTTCATTCACATACGTAGCTACAAGCAACCATCAACATGTCATGTGTTTCTTTCATGTTCGAAAAGTCGGCGAGACTAAGAGGGTGCAGCATTTGGCCTTGTGCAGAGGTCAAACTTCTACCTGACAAAGCACAGCATCAAGGACACATAAATCTTAAGTCTACTCCAAATAGCCACTGCTCACGTTCCATTCCTCTCTCTTGCTTCCGTCCCTTCCCTCCCTTCATGTTCCATAACAGAAGGCTTCATATGCACTTTAGCATTTTGAAGGTTGTCTGCATGAATGCACGGCTGTTGTGCCTAAAGATTTACTGGAAGTCCAGTCCGAACAAATCCTGAGGGTGTGATTGGATTTATGGGAAAGTATTTGTCTCTTCTCTTCTGCTTGGGAGCTAGGCCTTATATCTGCCGATCTCAACATGGCTTTATGGAATTGTTTGATTCCCTTCTTTCTTCATCTCCCTCATTGACAGATTTGTTATGTTATATAATAAAAAGATGTATTACTGCCATCAGTGTCTCACTAACAAACAAACAAACGTGTGCAATAATATAATGACACTATGACAAGTTTTAACTAATGGAGCATTTGAATAAATGAACACAAAAACATTGAATGAAAGAAAATCATTACATCTAGGTACACTTGGACAGATTTTTAGCTTGATGGAACAACACATGTTGACCTACTAAATTTAAATGGATTCAAGTAGTGATCTAGTGACTCGAATAGTTAGCAGCATTTCTCCATCTCCCAGAGTTGTACACTCTGGGAAGACTTCAAGTGCCTTCCGATGTTGTTTCACAAATGTATAGGCTATTTTTCACAAATGTTAAACTGTTACAAATGTTCAAGAATTCATCCTTATAAAACCATCTGTTTCTTCCTCACATGAGCAAGGCACCATCCCCATCCCCCAGCTCAAGTGGTGCAATACTGCTTGCCCGCCCTTTGCACTCTGTATAACTCCTTGCATGCCTGTACGTGTGTGATCTGGCTCTCTGTGTGGTTTACAACACAAAGACAACGTAAAGACAAATAAGATATAATCAGATATAGTAAGATTTTTTTTTTCCATTTCATTTAAAAAAGGCACCCTGGCCCCAGCTCTGATTGGTAGCTGCTGATACAGTATGAGGGCATCCTACGATCATTGCCTCTTCATTGTACTGTATTTGCTAAATTCAC